GGCTGTGTCGTAGCACGGGGTACAAATGAATTGTCATGAATATGTAAATTGAATTTCGAGCTGGTCGTCTAGCATTGCGCGAGATGCTCGGGGGGGATAACGGGAAAGGTTGGAGGAAACGGGCGTCACCGGGTACACTCTGTGTTTCTACCGATCGTATTCAATTTGGTACGCGTCAACTCGGCCCACCTTCCGATGAATTTTTGCTTTTCAGCCCGGCCACCACGACCCCGGCCATTGTGCTCTGACATTATTGCCGGCTGCGCACGGCCTCGTAAAGCAACCGTAATCACGCGCGTTTTCGTTGGAACCGGTAATTCGTAATACACTATTCGACGGATAAGCGATCGTGAAACGGAACGATTCGTTTTAAACACGTGAATCGACGAAAGTGAATGTCTTCTACTCTATCTAAACTATTCTTCGTTGTAGCATCTCGAGTGAGATCGAGAATTGTGAGATGTCACGAATTGTTGCAACGTTTTTTTAAATTTTTTCCATCGGTAGAATTATCGTTTTCATCTGGCAGCAAACGTCGATAAAAAAATATTAACTGTCGTGATGGACGTCGTTCGATGGCTACATCGAATTTTCGTGGAAAATACCCTTTTTTGTTTTAACAAACGACTGTCATCGAATGGACAAAAAAGGAAAGACAAAGAGAGAAAAAAGAACGAACGTGAACGTGATAAAATATTCACCGTTGCATAAAGTATATATCGTACTATTTAAATGGAGGGAAAATGTAATCATTCGTCTCTCTGTATCCCTACCCTACGCTTTTCGCTCCGCTCGGTTTCGTCGTGGATAATCTCGTCGAATACAGAGGATAATAACTGATTCATGGGTTGATACGAGATCGTTGAAAGGAGGTAGCTTTTCATCGTCGAGCAGGCGTTTCCCGGTCAACACTGTACCCACCGTGTACATCCGATTTACGATTTCACGGTTACGATTAACAGGGTGGGGAACGAGCGAGGGCTTTGATACACAATTTCATCTTGTCGAAGAGGAAGGAGATCGATGGACGGGGGGACGTCGAATGGGCTAGAAATTAGGTTTGGAGAGAACCGGTGTCGCGGACTCCCGTCCTATCAGAATGTTCTCGGTAGCTAATCTTGCTCAATGACCGTTGCTGATGGTCCGCGTCAGTGATGGATCGTGTAAATATGTATCTCTCTGGTAGCGTGCGCTAAATAATATTTCACTGGATCAACGTCCAGTGATACTGGGAACGCGACGATTTCATATATCACGGTTAATCGGTCTTAATTTGTAACCTCGTTTCGTCTCTTTCTCTCCTATCCGAAACGTCTGTTGTTTCTTTTTCTCTCTCTCTCTCTCTCTCTCTCTCCTTCTTTCTTCGCCGAAATACATATTCGGCTGTGTATTACCGAGGTACGAGGCGAAAGGTAGAGGAAAGTGGATCTCGCATAAAAGATTTACGATTCCAAGTGGAAGATTATATGGTGGAAATGTGACTAAGGGAACGAGTTTAAGGTTACCCTCGCATTTCTTTTCTTAAATGGGGACTCTTTATCTTTTTACCCTCCGGTTTAACAATGTATAACAACCATTCGAGGACGTTCAAGGACACGTAGAGAGGGTTGCCAGTGACACGTTAAAAAAAGAAGGGACAAAAGCCTCGCGTCTTGCGAGTTTCTCTCTTTGGATGTAGAACGATCTTTCTTTCTTTCTTCTTATTTTTAAGAACATTCGCGCCGTTTCGTCACAAATGACTCATCCTTGTATTTCTATTCTTGCGTCTCGTGTTCTTCCTGTTTTTTCTCTCTCTCTTCGTTCTGTTTCCGTGATTTTTGCGGGAAAATCGCGCGCGGACAGACGAGGTTAACTGAAAATACTTAAAGTTCGTTGCGGCGCGAAATAATAAAAACCGAAAACGCGAGGCTTTGCAACGGTGAACCGTCCGGTTCCCCTCTCCCCCTCTGTGTTACTTTTATTGTATATAAGTGAGAAAATCCCTGCAATAGAGTGGATGTTTCGCCGCAACAAACGCAAAACGAATATTTGAAGCCGGCGAGTTGTACCGCGGCGTGATCACGTAACGCGTGCCTCCGGTCGTTTTCTGTATAATCCGTTTGCCGTTGTGCAAATATGAATTTTTATACGCCACTGCACCTTGCTGTACCGTTGCATCGTGGGGGCAACTCGTCCAATAGACTATACAGTTCCATTTGACTACGCCAGCTGAAATATTCCTCGTGAATGCGTCTGTATTGTTTTTCTATTTCAATTCCGGCGACGCCGGATTTTCCGTCGGTCGGCGCAAACTCTGCCGGTGAAATCATCGAAAGTTCGAGGAAATAGTCTATAGCGGAGACGCTGCGTCGTAAATTTCCACGCGAACAGGGAGAGAAGATACTTCTCTGCTCGCGTTTGTCCTTCTTCGTTTGGCGAACCGAAGGGAAAACGAGCGTTGCGAGATTGTGGTTGAGTAATGTTGCGTCTACACTGTGAGGCATAACGCGTCATGTACAGCAATGTTGCGAGAAGAAACAGAAAAATGTCGAGTAACATTCTTCTTGTCGTATAGAAAGTTCTGTGTTATCCGTCGAGTGTCGGTAATGATGAAAGGTAGTTACGAAATAGTGTCACGCGATCCAAATCTCAGACGCTGTTATCAGAGATTTGTCATCTATCCTATGCAAGCAGTTCGTCGTTTCAGTGTAGCTGTTACTGTTTAACCCTTTCGCTACGGCAGATTTTAATGCGTAACGTGGGTTTTCAACCACGGCTGCGAAATTTCTTGTTTTGCTCGTGTCGTTTTAAAATTCGGTTGATTAGATTAAGGCGGAAGTGCACCGAAAGGCTCGAACGGTATAGTGCGAGTAATTTTCAAGACGCCTATAGACGCCGATAGTAACGAAAGGGTTAATATCGTTTTTTAACGTGTCTTACGGAACCCTACGTCTGCGAATTTCAGAGAAACAAGATGATTTAGAGCATGGGTGTTCAACCTTTCGATTTGCCTAGACCATACGAAATATATAATACAGTTAATTGTACATAAGTAACAAAACCTCCCTTATTTTTTAATATTCTTTATCAGAATGCAATTGAGCCGTGAAAAATATCGCTAAAAATCACATAATAATGTTAAAATTTTACGATATTGTGCTGTTAAGGCCACACTGCGGCCCGCAGGTTGGACACGCCTGATTTAGAGAAAGAAGCTTGACGCCTATACTGAATTAGGAGCTGATACAAAAACGAATTCAAGCGAAATAGAAAATAAAATTCAACTATTGAATTGATCGAACTGTTTTTTTATACAGTGTACACGCAGTTTAACCCTTTCACCGCTGAAAATTTCTAATCCTTCGTGTTTGTCCTGTGCGCGCTTCTACTTTAATTTAATAAAAGAAAATTAGAAACGATTTTCAAAATTTTCAATCGCCGAAACTAAAGATCTCGCGCCTGTAATTAAGTGCTACAGCGAAAGGATTAAGGAACCAAAAGAAAGTCAAGCTTCGTCAAAACGTAAGAATGGTCCGAAACGAGCTGAACGCAAACTGTCGCTGAAATATGTATCTATGCGTTCGATCGATACAAGTGACTCGTACAAAGACACACATCGCCGTAGATAAAGTCACGAACGATATATTACAATTGGTGAAATATAGAAGTGTCTCTGTTCGGTCTGTTCGCGAAGTTTCGTCAAAATCGACGCACAGTGAGTCGACTTGCTTCTCTTGTTAGCGACGTCGCGTCGTCGTAAGCGAGCGCAGTCACGTGGCGGGACGATTTATCCGAGTGAGTCAAGCTTGCCGAGGCGTCTTACCTAGAAATAGCTCGTTGAAGTCACCCTGTCCCCCGATGTACACGCCGTAGTGTATGTTCAGCTCGAAGAAACGTCCCGGTAGAAGGGACCTGGTCGTGTGTATAACGTCGATCTGCAGCGTAATGTTCGCCTGGCGTCTCGTCAGGTTCACCTCGTGCCAGCTCAGGTCGTTCAGCGTCAGACCACGAGCACTCGCCATCTCGCTCTCCCCGGCGCCTAAATTAATGTGGACCTACGGAGAAAGAAGAAAAAGAAAGATCCTCTTAAATTATCCAACTAAAGACGAACTTTTTCACGTAGAATCGATAATATCCCCGAACTTTATTCACGAGTTTCAACCAAGAGATGATTACCTCTTCTTCGGAGACTCTCCATGTAGATGTTAGTAGACGAGGGTAAAAATATTTTTCCCGTAGCACGGAATTTTTAATTGCGTATTTTTGCGAAAGGTTTCAAGTTTCTCGCCGAGTAGATGGTGGAAAAGGTGACATTTTGGGAAATTTTCCGGCAATACGGCGGCGGTAAGAGAAACCGCGACGATCCGACGTTTCATTTTTCATCCTCCTCTTCCACGAGCATTATATCTCTCATGCATGCGGAGTGTGAAGGGGCCACCGGTGAGACGCATTAAATATTGATCCCCTCCAGATTGCCATCGATTGCTCGTTTATCAGACGGCCCCTTTGACTAGAGAGCGCGCGCGTAATCGGATTCTTTAAAACCTTCTCCGGGTGAGTTTGTGAAAAGCTAGGAGAACCGTATAAGACGCGAGTGGCAGGAAATAATTCATAGGGAATATACTCGTCGGAGGAGAAGTTTAAAGAACTTCACCGTGCGTATAATCCCGATCCGTTACTCTCTGAAAATCTACTTTCACCTGATTTCTAAGTGAATTAGACGAAAAATTAGCATCTGTTTAAGGGTGCATTTGCCCTGCTTAAGCGTCTCTTTCCTCCCTCCCACAGGTTGAAAAATAAAGCTACCACGTTAATCCTCGGCAGGTAGGTTGAAAAAGAAACGGTTGACACGGTGTGGTTGGATGCATTTTATTAATCCAAAGCTCGACCCTTTTGCACACGGGGGTCGTCCTTGCGACGCGACGCCGCAAACGACCAAGGATTACGAGTAACGCTTTTTCTTCCCTCACCGTTTCCTGACGTCTCGGGCATTATAAGGCTAATTCGAGTAATGCATTATCGAATTAAGAGGACGGTACACGGTGCCTCTCGCTTTAACGAGACTCGAGGTGGCAGCCTCCTGATAAAGAGTCTTTAAACGCGACCTGAATCGACAACGGGAGAGACTTATAGCGATGTCTTCGTGTACCATCGTCCTTTTCCTCTATCCTCGCGAAAATTGATCCTGTCCACAGGGGAGGAGGGGGTAAGGGAAGAGGGTTAAAGGTAGTCGTATCTTAATGAAAAGTCGATCGTTCGCGGGACAGAAGAGCCGCGGCACGACGAGGTTGAAATTACGAAGGGGAGGTATAGCGCGATTGGCAACGAGAGGTCCGCGATCTTTGCCCGCTCTTGCAAAACCCGTTCGAACCGATCGATTTCGTAATAAAGGCGCGAGCTTTTGCGAGTTGCAAGTTCAGCCGGTGGTAGCGTGATGTCCGATGACTATGCAGAACCCCCATTAATATGTATAAGCGCGGGAGAGACACGACACTTGGTCGAGTGTAAACGCGAATCTATAGGTTCAGAAGGTCGAAGGGATGAACCAGCCAGCGGTTGGATGCAGTTGGCGCATTATCGATGCACCGCCATTGGTGATTGGAAAGTGAACAATGACAAATATTCCCCAGCTTTGTCGATTACAACGCGAGGGGCTGCAAAAGGAAAGATTGTTCTCCTCGAGGCTTTTTGTTTTTTTTTGCTCCTCCTCCTCTGGTGAGCCGACTACCGGAAACGTATGTTTCATAGAAAGTTGACGTCGTTTCGATGGACGTACCGTTCTCCTTCTCTCTATTCCCCGGTACCTACGTGTTCGAAAACATTTTTCCCCGAGTGATAAATCGAAGGCTCTAATGTGCCGCGTTCGTCAAATAAACCCGAGAGTAAAGAATATTTTCAATCGAATCTTCGGGGTTGAAATAGGGGAGATTCTCGTATCTAGGAATTCGATGGATATCTTTTTCTTTCCACGGAATTCCCGCTTGCGATGTTTCGAATAATCGCGAAGATGGAAGAGGGAGGTTTCAACGGAGAACCGCAAACGAGACACGGGTTGGCGAACCGACGGGCACGCGAGAACCGAAACGATTCCATTGCACTTTTTGCTCCCGAGTCGTTTATCCCCTTCTCATCCTCTTTAACGATCTTCTTAACAAATTTAATTAAGCTCAGACAGCGCCGAGCCGTCTTCCCATGGGCTGCGCCCGTCGACTTAGCCCTTCGAGAAATTAGATTCGCGCGGTTTTCACGCCGGATCGTTCGCCTATGCTTCTCGCCGGAGAAACGGCATTTCCCTTCCATCCTAATACAGTTAGATAGTATTTTAACGTTACATCGGAGACGTCGGATTGGTTCGCGTGCAACGAGTCTCGGGGTTGAGTCGAACGAGAACAAGGTTCAACGTGTTCGAGTTCCTCTTCGCGAGATTGATCATTCGAGTAAAGTAAAGTTCGAGAAGTGCCGTAATTTCGTGGGAAATAAACATTCGTATTTAGCAGTTGTTCGGTCTTTTTTCGACTATGATTTTTCCCCGAGGAACATTTCCTCCCTCGTGTTCCAGATTTTCAGCTGAATTAGATGAATCGAGTAGAGAGGAGGAAGTGAAGCCAGGCTCCGACCAAGTTGAATGGACTGATTGGTCTGCAATTTTCAGCGATTTATTAGAATTCACGAAGAACAGCTCTCTTCCCTCGTCCGTTTCTTTTGCTAAATTAGACCGAATTCGGGTCACTCGTTCCGAACACTCGAGTAATAACCATGCTAATTTTCACTATCGCGGCAATTATCGTTGGAACCTTGCCGATTAAAGTACAAGGGAGTCAGTTTGCGGAATGAAAAGCCGCGCCGTTTATCTGACGTTCTCCGGGTTGTTTGCATTTTCCCAGTCGATCACCACTCTTGATAAAACATCGTTAATCTAACGATATGCGGGATCACGGTCTCCGTATCCAATAACAACGAGGAAATCCCGGATTGTCGGCCGGAGGTCGCCAGTTTTCCGCACATTTGTAACTAAGACTCGTTGTTAACCTCGATACACCACCTTAAACTCTTTCTATCGCGTCGTTGTACAGGAAATGACCGATTCGAAAGTGAAACTTTAAATCTCGATATCTTGGTCAAGATTAAATTCTATTAATCGAAATCAGCTGCACCAGATTCGACAAATTTCTGTCAACGAATTGCAAGTAAATTCGCTGTATCGTTATATAAATCTGAATATTACCTGTTATCGTCGAGTTCTCTACAGAGGAGACGCTGCGACTTCTAAGGGTCGCGGATCCTTTGTTTACGAACCGGCGATAGAGAGTTCGACCGCTGATCTCAAAGGTACGCGCGAAGGACCTGGCCACAGAGTGTGGAAAATGCGGCTTTTTCTGGTAAGAGGACCATGAGAGACGGCAAGGCACTTACCCCAGAACTTTCAGAAAATACGCATCTACATAGCAATACATCTAACATACCAATAAATTCGTCATCTCGGTGAAAAATTCTTTTCGTTAAAAAATTATGTAAATTCTTAAACTGTATCAATATTTTTAATCGTTCAATTCGTAAAAGAAGATCACTCACACTCCTGCTTTTAACCTAGCCTCGATCTAACTTCCTCCGCGAAATAAGCGCTGCATTTAAAACCATCGACAGGAGGATTTTCATACGACACTCGGCACGATTTCAGTTGATAAAATAAGAATCCACCGGTATCTACATATACCAACACCATCATTTCATATGCAACGAGCTGATACATCAGTTCACGTTCGAACGCGCGCCGATGGACGACGCGAAGCGTGAAACGTCGAGATTTTCCGTTAATCGAGCTAATAGAGAAATTAATACTAAAATCACGGCGAAGTATTGGATCAAAGGCCACGGAGTCGCCGACTCAAAGACACCTTTCAGTTAAAGAATATCTGGACGCGGGATAATTTGCCGAATCAATGGCGGATCGATCCACCGTGAACCTTTCACCATACGTTATTTACCTGCGTTTGTTTCCTACTTATTCAGTTTGTCTGTCGTTCTGTTAGGATAGACACGAATTTCCACCACTACTCACACTATGGGTGGAGGGACATCTTCACGCCGCGCTTCAGCTTTCCCTAAAGTAGTGACTTCAGATTATTGATTTGGTTAAAAGTTGTTCTCCGCAATAAAAGAGTTATTTTTGTGAACGAAGTTCAGCCCTGTTAGGCTGCGGCATAACAGTTCGACGAGCGTAGCGATACACGGTCGAGTTCGTTAGAACGAACGTTGGGTCTGGCGTTGTTTTATGATTCGCAGATAGAGAGGTCTAGTCCCAACGACTTGGCATCCCTACGATGTTAACCCTCGAAAACAGCGACGCGGCACGCCGGGTCTCTTTTCACCCATATTGCAATTTTTACACCCCTAATTGTTACATCCTCGAGTATTTTCCTTCTTAGTCTTAGTTTTATCTGTATCTACAACTTCTTCGCCTTCAACCTTCATCTTCACCTCCCAACTCTCCTACATAGTCATAATCGAAAGTTCATCTTCTCTAAACCCTAAAATATCCCTATCTTCTCCATTTTCGGATCATTTTCTCTGTTTTACCACGCGCACCTCATGTAAACTTCTGCTTCTACGCAACGACGATCCTTAATTGTTTTAAATTCAGCGTTACCCCAATATCTGCTCCGAGTTTCGAGGACTTGGAGCGAACCGGGCATCGCAGTATGTTGCGAACACATACACTACCGGCCAAAAGTTTGGAATCACCGTGCATTGCAATTTACAGAAAAAAGTCAGCGACTTTGAGAAGTTTTTATCACTCGAATCAATTGATATGAGATAAATTGATAAAAAGAGATAAGAAGAGATAAGAGAGTAGAATTGAGATAAACTTGAAATCTATAAAAAATTAGCAGCAGATTTAATATCGATGAAAAGTGGGAGGTGATTCGAAACTTTTGCCCGGTAGTGTATGTCTTCTTAGGCATATTTTCAGCTCTATTTCTCATCATTTCCTATGAATATAATATGCCGCTACTTAGCTTCTTCAACACTGCCTGGCTAAAGACGTTAGAACTCTCCACGTAGTCGTTTGTTCATGTTACTTATGTTATGGAATGAAGCATAGGTAGACTCGTAACTTCTACTCGTGTTTCCGTGCCTGTGATTCCTCTCACGGAATCGTAATTTGTAACCGGAACTCGAGGACGATTATTACCTAAGAGTAAAGTGGCCCTTCTGGGCTTCGTCGTCCCGAGTGCGTCGTTGTTCTTCGTAATGCGATCGAGTACGCTCTACCGGGGCAGTTTAATTTCGCAACAACGAGTACTCGTTGCGCTGCCCGTCACCGGTGATCATTAATAATCGTACTTGTTAAAGGTGAAGCTGTTCCTTTTTTCCCCATCTTCTTCCCTCTCTCTCTCCTTCGTCGATAACTTTGACACGCCGCGGAATCGAGACAGCGGAGGAATTTTCGTGAAATTTTGGAAAATCGAGCAGGTTAACGCGGGTTTCGAACTAACTTTGAAGTTTTGTTTCCGAGAACCGTGTGCTTTTGATGCCGACGCTGTAAATCGTTTCAAAGGGTGTATAGATGAAAGTGGAATTTCTTTTCTGCCTTTTCTCAAGGTCGCCCGTGATTTTTCCACGCGAATCTTGCAGTCAGAGACGTCGGCGACGTGCATTAAAGTAATTAACCTGCCTGGTTAGTTTTACGATCGGAGCGAAGTTAAACAATGGCGTGTTAAACATCGAGGAAGTTACGATGGGAAAATGCGCAAAACGGTGAAGTTTTTACGATGGAAACTCTCGTTTTTTTCTCGGTTACACCGAGACGGAACCGAGAGAAAAGAGCGAACAGAAGTACATTGAAATCAATTATTGGAAAGGCAAGCAAAGAAAAGTCATGACTAAACAGTCTCGAAATAAACGTGATTTTCTTTCTTCTTCATTTCAACCAGAGGAAAGTGTGTGCGTAAGAGAGAGAAATAGAAAATTTTACCGATTATTTGATTTTATCGATACCGATGCTATTTGCTTCTTTTTTTTTACACGGCCAACGTGAGTACGTGTTACAATATTTAAAAAAATCTCCAGCTCGATCATTCCGACGATCATTTTTCACGGGTGCGATCGTAAAAGTATATTTTTTTTCCAACGGACGGTTCGCAAATAGAAAAAAGATCGATTCACCGTGGAGCGGAGAGAGAGAGAAAGAGAGAATGGCGTTACATGTGAAATAAATTACAATGTTTTATTTCACGCGGCCGCCGCCGTATGAAAGTTAAATTCGAACGCGTCAAATTTAATTCAATTAAAAATACTCTCTCGGTTGATGGCGCGAGTCTCTCCCTCGCCGCGTCCGTTGTATTTTTGAGACGCGCGACGAAAATTGCTCGTCGTTGAAACATCGATCGACAGGTCGTAATGCAGTATCGTTTGTTCCGAACCTGCCATAAAGCGATTGTTACGCGCCGGCTACAACCGTGACAGACTATTAAAGAGAATAAGATCGAAACTTTCGGCTCCCTCTCTCTCTGCCCTCTATCCCGTTAGGAAAACCGGGCAAACGATAACAAATATTGCGGCCGTTTATTTTATAGCAACGTTTTAACGCTGGAAACTCATTATTGGCTTGACGCTTTCCTCGCACAGGATTGGCTGATTTACGAGAGGACTTAGCGCTCTCGTGGAATTGGTTTAAACAAAATCAGTTAACTTTGCCTCCAATGAATTTCACAATCTCTCTCTCATTTCGTTTAACGAGAACGAAAGAGAGATAGATAGATGGAGAAAGAGGACGATAGAAAAAAAAAAAAGGAAAATTGTAGCATTGTATCTGACAGTGTAGCAACAATAAATGCTACTTTTCATTCAGGAATATAAAACACGTCGCGATGTTGCTTCCCTGTGTTCGTCAGGACTGACCGAGCGAGGCCGTACATAAATAAGATGCTTTTACCCGTGGAGTTTTAATGGCTGGAATAAAACGACGGAACGACGTGACGTTGTTAAAATCAAGACACGGTTTTTATCGAAGTCGTAAAACTAGCCGGTGGAACGTTGGTTTTGTCAGTGGTGGTGGTGGTGGTGGCGCGCGTGAAAATCGTCCTCTCTTCTTTTTCTCTTCATCTCTCTCTCTCTTTTACGGCGGCCGCGGTCGCGTGCTTCTCCGTCTTTCTCTCTCTCTCGTCGCTTCCTCGCCGCGTATCAAAGCGAGCCTAATTCTCCGGCCGGACAGGAGGGAAACAGAGAAGAAAGAAAATGGTGGAAGGGAATAGCGGAGAGATGGCTGACAGAGTCGCGACGGTAGAGCACGTGCGGTTGGTTAACGACCAAACCGACCACCACGGGCCCCCAAACAGTAAAGCCTATTAATAGAAGTAAGCATCGAGGGCAAACGAACCTTCAATCTGCCAGCTTCGAGTTTGATCAGGCAGTAATCCGTCTTGCCAACGGCCAATAGCAGCATGGCGTCCGCGAGATGAGTTCGGAACCGGAAGCTGATGTCAGTCGCACCCTTGGCTTCTTGAACCGGAAGATGAATGTAGCTCGCACCGTAAAACGACACTGCAATCAATTTTCAACAAATTTATTCTTCCTTCGTTGCACAGTCGCCTCGCTTCCACCGTTCGTCCTTCAGATATCAGACTGAAGTTAGGTTTTGCGTCCCTTCAGACAGTGAAACGAAAGAAATCGTGGTTTTTTAGGACAATCTTTGAGCTAAAGACGATAATTTTGCTTGGACTGAGATTCACTTAGGTTTGCATCCCTTGGAGGCAGCGAAACGAAACAAATCGCGGTTTTTTTAAAGACGAATTTTAAATTAACGAAGATACAACAATTCTGTCGTACTCTTCTTGCTGTAATTTACTTGGACAGAGGTTGAGGTTTACATCCCTTTGAGACAGCGAAGCGAAAGAAATCGTGGTTTCCAAAGGGGAATTTTACGGTACCGACGATACAACAATTCATATTCGATAAAAATTCTCGTGTTTTCTACGCAACGGGATTAATGAACGACGATGGTAATCACTCGTTTCCACGTTTAATTATTTATCGATCAAAATGTTCATTACTTTCACGTCGCTTAACATTGGGAACGTTTAAGCGGTTCAATTGCTCGAAATTTAATCAAGTTCAATTTAACGTTTCGATTTACTCAACCTTACTTGCTTCTGGCACTGTTTCACCTGTTTTTATTTATTCCCCTCCCTCTTTTCTCTGTACGCTTCGTGCCTGTGCGTGTCGGAGTAAACTTCTTGGATAAAAATTCGACGTATGCGCGTGGCGATGTAACGCGGCTAAAGGCTTTGGTAAATGATTCGCGACGAGAAGGGGTTGGAAGATAGAGGCGTGCTAGCCGGCGGAACGATTCTACAGTACCCATCTCATAAACTTTGCAAACTCGTCGCCTTGTTTACCCGTCAGAGGAGCTTAAGCAGCGGCTTTTGCTCGCAGTCCCGTGGATTTTTCTATAATTTATCGCTTGCTAACAAAAGGCGAGCGTGTAACGTCTGATAAATTATTTATCGGTATACGCGAACAGAAGGATCCGTGTACTTTTCATCCATGTCAAATATTCATCCGCTGTAGACAATGAAATTCTCCATTCACAGTGCCCGGTGTCCACGCGAAATATCGACAATTTCCCGAAACAATGAAACGCGAAGCCTCTCGATGAATCGAAAAAGCTGTTAAAAGTATAATTAATATTTCGTCGATTGTGATAAAGGAACCGCGGTAGAATTATCTCGTGTACTCGAGCACAGGAGAGAGAGAAAAAGGAGGCAACGAACGAGGGGTGGAGAGAAGAAAAGGAAAGCTACAAGTGAGGAAGATGAGAGAGAGAGAGAGAAGGAAGAAAGAAAGGGAAACACAGAAGACGATTGAAAAGGTTGGCAAGACCGATGAATGAGCGACTTCAACTCCTTCAAACGACCGTTGAAGGAGAGATCTCTCGCATCTATAGCTGTGTGTACCGAGAAATCAGAGGTTGGCCGGAGCGCGTGCCTCGACGTTACGGAACATGTAAAGAGTTTATTTCCCAGCAGCGTGTAAACGATCTAAGAAAACCGTTCGAGTACGTAGAATAACCCGGCACGGCTCGTTAACTACGGACAACCCTTCTTTTTCGTCGCTTCGCTCTTTCCTTTTCTTTTCTTCCGTTTCGGTAGGAAGCCGGAATAGTATCGCGGAATGGAGGAGCATGGAAACATTAACGTCGACCGCGAATCGATCGAATCGACGTCCTGGAACCGCGGCTCGACTGTTCCAACGGTTTATTCGGCTGGTATTACCCGGTGTGCAAATCGTAATATTCGCGTATCCAGGTTTCGGAGAGAATATGCTCTCGAACATCGGTGTGTTTCCTCTCCTATCAACGTCGGATTTCCCCATTCTCTTCTAAACACGATTACCATTTTTATTCTCACAGCTTGTGTGTTTATTCGTAGAAAGTCTCGCGGCCTAGAAATAACGAGGTCGAGGTCCTTATCCAATTACAAGCAGATTTTCTGCTATCGGAAATGTTCATCGGCCGCTAATTACCGAGATAATACGGCGCTGAAACGGCCGAATCGGTGGCTTTCGGGCAGCGTTTCTTCAATCACCCTCTCTCTCTCTCTCTATCCTCCAGCTTTTGACCGATAAACGGTGTTTTTAACGACCTGACGTCAGACGTTTCGCGGAATTATATCGTGCCACAGAGGAGAAAGAGAGAGAGAGAGGCTGCGCCCGCCCGGCAGCCACGAAACTTGTATATTACGGATTGTAAAACATCCGGAGACTCGTATACCTCGCTTTTTCCGAGGTAATCCTATCTTCAAATCCGAGGAGACGAGTCGAGACGAGGGAAAATATGCGAAACTGCCTTCCGTAGACGTATCCTGCTTCTCCTGGAATTCAATTTATTCCGTGAATGCACTTGTCCGTTCAGACTTTTCGATCGAGTAGTAACAAGTGTATACTGGGTGTTACTCAGCTAAGGAGTAGACAGTTGACTGGTTAATAAGAGTCTAAAGGAGAAGAGAAAAGAGACAATCTATCGGCTGGTTTATTTATCAGTTGATAAACGTACCAAAGATGAATTTAATAAACATTTATTTGGCCTAATTAAAAAGTGATCGGTGGAATTTGATTTTGATCTGTGGTTCATTTTCGTACACACAATGTGTACCATTTAACGATGAAATAATTCAACTATACGTCGTTCAAAATGAGAGTAACCTCGCTCTCGGACCGATTCTCGTCCGTTCTGCTAGTAGACAGAGAGCGTAGCGGAGGGTAAGACAGAGAAAAACGTAGGCAGTTTGGACGTTCCAGTCCTGCCTTAGGCACGTCCCATGCGCGAAGCGAGGTTACTCTCATTTTGAACAGAGTGTAGCTTCCTCATTTTAACCCCTTAACTTATGACTTCTTTTCTGACTATGCATCTAAGCGTCCGCCATTTTACTGTTTTAGTACTCAGGTAAGGAAAGCTAATCTGTTACAGATTAGTTACATGTAGTAATCCTCGGTGTTAGAAATTCAAACGAAAGGTAGGATTACATTGAATTTTTCTTACTAATATAATTATTTTGCCACGAGTCCGACACGTTGTTATAGGTTAAGGGGTTAAACGACATTCTCTGGTGAATTCCTAATCTCCCTGCAACTCGGAATCGTCTACTCTAAATTATTCAACCAATTTCCCATTTCTTTTCTAAGCGACGAGCGAAAAAGTTACAATATTCGGCGCTTCGTATACGCAATTTCTTTCAACGTCTATCAATCAGTCGAGCTTCCGCTCACTTAAGTTCCGAAACATCGAGTACAGAGCGCGAAAGGTGGATTAACCGGATAAACGTGGAAATGATTAGGTCGATATCGGGATAGGTTGTATTCCGGGCTGGTTTTTGCCTTGTGTCGATAGCTCGAATCGACGCCGGCAAATTTCTACGCTTCGGAATAGAGTATTTTTGGCTTTCGCCACTGATCGGTTCACGTTAATCCGGTGGCCGCATTTAATTAACAAAATCCGCGAATGCGGTCGCCTTTTCGCCGGAAAAACTACTGGCTGCCAGGCCGGCTGCGTTTAGTCCGGTTGCGTTTGACCCGGTTGCGAGTAAAAGGACGCCTCTCGAACGCGCGGCGTGCGTCGTAGCATTAATTTGCAAGCGAAATGATGGATTAGAGAAATGGAACGCGAGATAAACGAGAAATTGATTATACTCGTGTTGCCATTCCCGTGTTCCATCATCGTATTTCGACGTTCGACTGGATTGCCCTCGACGTTCGACCATTACAGAAATACGAAGCCCTGGTATCGAATGAAGTACGGTTTATGTAAAATTGATACCGATAAATTTCGTTCCTCCTACCTACCGCTGGTATCCGAGCCTCGACGAACGAACGAACGCAGAGAAAAAAAAAAAAACAAAAAAATAGAGGAAGCGAAGAGGTAATTGTTTTTCAAGCTCCAATTCCGAAATTTCCTACTCTCTCCACCTCATTCGTATAATTCGATCGTTCGTACTCGATATATCTGCTAAACGATGGATTAGCCGGCTAAATGAAAAACTGATTACACTATGTCGGATCGATAGCAAAACTCTCCGTTCTATCTATCTCTCCCTTTATTTTCATTCTTTAAACCTAGAATTTCACGTTCGATCAAAGTTGCGAAGTGAACAGACGAAGGATAGTTTACGTAAAATCGATCTATCTCTCTACAGTACCGACGGGGTTTTCTAAGCGAACCTAATTTCGCTATATCTTCGCGATACTTTACAGATAGGAAGATCTCGAGGTGCGTGTATAATCGGTCTGGTAGCACTTTGTTCGCGGAGAACAGAGAAACGCGTATGCTCGATACGCGCAGAGGATTAATTGGTCCCTTTATCGATATATCGATCATCGATGCATAGTAGGGGCCCGTGAACATACAGAGACAGACACCGTCTAGTGGCTAGTTTCATTTTTTACGCGGCCCATCACGGTCTTATCGAGGCGGAAAATCGCTATTCAACGCTCGAACACTGTACTATATTTTTTCCTTTTTTGTCTCTTCTCTTCCCCTTCTTTGCTTCGCGTTTCATCGTTGAAAAGGGATTCGAAGGTTTTCCGAAAGAACGAACCGGCAATTTTCTATTCCGATTTGTAAATCGTGTGTTTCGTACGTCCCTATTGTGTAACCGTTGGTTAAATCGACGGAATTCATCGGTCAAGTGATAAAACAGAAAAGATGATATCCCGAGGAAGGAAGAGGAGAGAGGGATGGATCGCGAATCAATGTATCGTTTCTATTACAGATGATCGAAAATGCATTCTGGCCGGTGGGCTTTTGGCCGTGGGCATCAGATCGTGTGTCGTTACACCGTTGAACAGAATCGGAAACCGTGGCTCTCGTATTACTACGTTAATCCTCTCCGCTTCAATTTATTCCCACGTTTGTTGCTACTCCATCATCGCCGGGCGAAGCTAATTTTGTAATTAACCTCCTCTATATTTGCTACTTCGTTTGTTTTAGCAGCTGAGTCCGCGGCGGAATACTTTTAGTTCCCCCCGTTGATTGATGACTCTAATTAAAAACCGGCCAGATCCTGCGCGCAATCCCGACGCCATTGTTCATTCAGTTCCTTGCTGGCCCGATACGTTCAGTCGATAATTACCGAATTACCGGCAGAGATGGATATTTTCCTACTCTAATCGACGCCGTTGGAAATTCATTACTTCGCAATTGCAACACGCCTCCGCGTGTAACGTTCTGTTCTTCTTCTTCGCTGGCGCAACGAAATCGCGGGGACGAGAAACGTGGAGATTCGAGGAGAAAATTGGAAAAATAGAAAACTACCGTTTGAAGTGTACATACATATACGCGTAGGCGCGACGTGAAAATCGTTAAAAAAGACGGACGATGGTCGTGCTCGATCGGACGATCGCGAAACGGCGTCGTATCAGCCACCCCTACAGGGCGTTTACGACTAACGCGGGTTTTCGTCGGTTATTAAAAGCACACGCGAGTAGTAGAGCTCGTAGGGCCATTGAAACGATAGAGAAGCCTCGATGTTATAAGTACATTCTCCGCGGCCACTCGTTCCGACTGACCATAAAAGTTAATCTCTGTCGGTGTTTTCCATCGTGCTTTGCCCACCGTTGTCCGACGATTTACGTTTTACGCGAAAGCACAAAGAGAGAGAGGGAGAGACCGCGTTTCTTTCGTCACTATCCAAGGGAGACGACCGCCTATACGTTACCTTTTTCGTCTGTTTGGCAGTAACCCAAAAGGGAGGCCGTTACTGCTAAGAACATTAGCAGCCCCATGTCGTTCAGAAACATTAGGCTCCTTCTCCTCGAACGTCTTCCTTTTATCCTTCGCGTTCTTCGACCAACGTATCCTACTTCTTCCGCTGGCGTTTCGTTCGTTCGTTTCTGATCGTGCAAGCGTTAAAGGTAGGGCTGCAGCCGGGTGGGAAGAAAAAGTTTGCTCGCGCTAAGAAACGGCCCGACCGGGGATATCGCCACTTAAGGGATATCGACGCCACGTGACGGGAATTACGAAAGGCTATTTACAGGCCGGTTTAATACTCGAAGCGTACTTGTTCCATCGTTCATTTTCTTTTTTCCGCACTGTTGTCCGTTGTTCGTCACGCGTTCCACCTGCCTTTCTCCTCCACCTTTCTCATCAATCGTGTCCGAAACATCGACCAGTCTCAACCGAGCATCCAGATCAATTTCTCTGTTCGCTTCAGTTTCAACCGCTTCCTCTCTCTTTCTCGTTCTCTCTTTCTCTCTATTTCTCTTTCCCAGTCTGTTAACAGCTATTCTATTTTCGAATCAGAAGACCACGTCAGGCCGGAACAACGCGGAAACGTCGGTCGTTGTGGCTCCCCTCGTATAAAAGTGTAAAATGAAACGTTGCTCGAGCGAGTATCGGTCCAACGACGACGAAGACGACGACGTTCCGCAAGGTGCTAGCTGCGTTCTATCCTTTGACAAGGCCCTGGCTGGCATCGTGCACGTACGCTCCTCGTTTCCTGCTGCTGCTGGTCCCGCTCGTTTCTGAAAGGACACACGGACCACCTCTGTAAAACGACACTCGCACACCCATGCAACGGTTTAATCAGCAGAATCGGCTTTCGGGTTCGAGAGAACGTGTATCGCCTTCCGCTACTGCCCCCACCACGGTTTCCCACTTGGGAGACACTCTAAAGAGGTCTAGAGACGTTTTCACTGATAGAGAACAGATCGACGGGGCTTTCTTGTTTTTTTCGAACGTGGCTTTCGCGGGATTTCTCTTCGACCGATCAAACACGTCTTCTGATTTCGTCTCTTTTTCTGCTCCTTTTAACCCTTTCGCCATCGAATCGTACGTTTTTCTAGGTTAGGTTAGGTTCGTTACCCGACTCGTAATCGTCGAGTTTGTAATTGATACTAAATTGAGACGAAGTTTTGTTCGAGTGCTCAAGTGGGATATACGCGACCGACTGGTCACGAAAGGGTTAACGCACTGATTGAGAGAAAAAGTTATTCGCGTCTTTGACGCTAGAAGCTCTCGCGAGTGTACGTGTTAGAGGATATTCCGAGAAATAGAATGAAAATATACGTGGTGTGCAGGGGGATAATAGCGACGGCGGTGCAAAAACCGGGATCAAGCTTCTAACTCGAAGCGGAAAATAGAAGAACGTTAAGTTTACGATAAGAATAGAAGAAAAAGGGGTTAGGAATAATACCGGCTAAGCGATGGTAGATGCAGTTTTAAAGAGAAAGTTACAACGATACGAGGAACTTAGGCGAGGAAGGAATTAATAAGTATAACAATGTCGACATTTCACGAGACGTTTGACAGAATGAAAAGTAGTTGGAATTAACGCGAAAGCAATTAAAAGGACAAGGTTTTATAAACGTGAAAAATCCATCTCTGATTCGCGTTCACAGGAAAAGAAGATCCCCCAACGTCGAGGAATTTATTCCTTTGTGAAGAAAGAAACGACGCTAAATCTCTTTACTTCCTAACTCACTCGAATTATCAAAGAATTAATCGGGACGGTATCCTCGAACGATTGTCCCTGGGCAGACAGCGTGTTGCGTTTAGCAGCGAGGCGACGCGATACAATCGCTCTCTCAGAAAAATTTCATCTCTCGAAGCGAACGAATCCGTGTTTACGCATGAAAGAAAGAATATTCGTGTGCACCTGGTCGCGGAACGTGAAAGGATCTCTCTTGTTATGCAAGTCGCCGGGGTAGCTAAGAAAAAAGAGAAGCAACGTCCCCTTTTCTTCGTGGTTTATTTGCCGTTGGAATCGGCGGCCGTTTAAATCGGTTAAAAAAATCCGAAGCTTCTCCTCCGATAAAGGTAACCTCGAGAGCTCGAGCGGATTTTTTCGGCGGACGATCGACTAAAATTCCAACGTGGCATAGAGGGGGAGAGAAAAAAGGGTTTTCGTGCCGGGAATCTAAACATTTAAACAAGCCAGTTGCACTGGGACTTGCCACCTTCTTCTGTTTATTCTCCTCCTTCTCTCTCTCTCTCTCTGTTTCACACTATTTCTAGCCTTTTCTCTCCTCCCTGCCGTCGTCGTCCTTCGGTTTACTTTTCGAGCGAGTAAAGCGGAGGGATTGAACGTGGGACAGTGGAAGAAGAAAGTGTCGGTCAGACGAGGGGGTACAGTAGCGTTTTGGTTTCTGCGAATCTCATTTACAACGGGCGACATTCGACACGCTCGACGATTCTCGAGTGGAACGGAGGGAAGAAAGAAAGAGAAAGAAAAGTATATATAAAACGAGAAAGTTGGATGGACGTGGCAGTCGAGCAATATTTTTCCCTGCTACACCCACACGGGTTGCCGTCTTGTTTCGTCCCGATAGAAAGTTGAGCGTCGGAACAAAAAGGTAGAAAGAGTGGCGCTGGTATTCCTATTCATGGAAAGAGTTAAGTACAGCAGGGTTGGAGGAGAGAAAAAAAGCATCGTTCCTCTGTGACCCTCTATCGCCGATATTCGACCCCTCTACCCCCGATACGGCCGAATACGATTGAACGGGAGCGTGAACACGCGTTCGTTCATGAGGAACGAGAGGGTAGAATGGTAGGAAAGGAAGAGTCTGGTTTAGTCTAGTCAGAAGAATCGTTCGTGTTCCCATCGAGAAATACCCATTTCCTCTCCCTTGGAGTATAAATATTTCACGGGGGTGTAGAGGGCATCGAGGGGGGTATATCTCGTTCCGGTGGAGTGAGATCATTGCTGATTTTACGGAGTCTATCTATCCTCTTTACGCCATGGAGATAAACGTTTCCCGGAGAGCCTTAAACCGAGATAAGGAAATGTACACGAATATCTTCGAAAAGTCGTAAAGTCCCGTGGATTTCCATAATGCAAAGCTTCGCCAGTGTATGTATATACATACAGAGACACACGACTACTTCTTTTTCTTTCCTATAGAGAGAGAGAGAGAGAGAGAGAGAGAGAGAGAAAGAGAGAGAGGTACAGGGGTAGAAACAAAAATGTTGCTACCGATACACCGCTATACTTCCGTCTAATGTAACAAGCTTTCGAACGATACACGTACTGGCGCACGTAGTTGGCCTGTCTGGCGAAAAAAGAAAGACTCTCCTTTACCTTTTTACCGGCCAGACTTCGAGGAGGAGGAAAAGAAGAAGAAGGGGACAGTGTCTGGCCAGTCGATGAAAGTGTCTGCTTTTTTCGATCATGTTGTTTCTCTCGTCCAATCGAACTTTCACAGGATTACACACAGATGAAAATTCAACGTAATATCCAGAGAGAGAGAAAAAAGGGGGGAGGGAAACGATTCGTTTCTATGTAGCAATCGTGCTCTCTTTTCCGAGTAAGTACCTGCCCTCGAGCCTTTTTCTCACACGGGCAAGATATTCTCGTAGAGGGAAAACGGTTGAAAGCGCAAGAGAGGGTTTGCCAGGAAGAGAATACCGATTTCGGTGACGACGATCAACGTCCAACTTTTGTTCTACCGACGAAATGCCTACGAGCGACGATTCTCATCTGCGAGGCCGGTTCTACGACGAGCCACCACCTCGCGTGGCCCTCGCGATGAAAGCGTAAATCACAGTCGACGTAAATATTGCTTTCGTTCCACCCTCGTGTAGACACGCGTTACTTCAACGAGAACGTTCCTACGGTATTCAAGAGAAAACTTTAACTGTCCAAAGCCTAGCCGGTGTGACACAAGCTAGTGAGGAGAGAGAGAAAAAAAAGCTGTCTTACACTTCGAAATTTGATTTCTTCCCTGTTATCGCGATTCGTGATAAACCTGCAACTGGTCGTCACCACGCGAACGTGCATTGAATCACAAACTCGAGTCAAGAACCGTGGGATCAGGCTACGACTCCAGCGGAATATATCCCTGTTTTTGTGCCGGCTCGATCGAAGCTTCGTTCACGATCGTATTCGAGAGAGAGAGAGAGAGAGAGAGAACGAGAGAGAGAACGAGAGAGAGAGAGAGAACGAGAGAGAGAGAGAGAACGAGAGAGCGAGAGAGCGAGAGAGTCACTATCACAGAGATGTACGCTGATGGAAGTACACACGTAAAATCCATATGTGAAGCCTGACAGACGCACGTTTTTCGCGGAAGAATACCGGCGACGAGTTCGCGCGTACCGACGCGCGACCGCAAGGAAAATACTCGAGCAAGCCGTTCTCTAGACTGGAACCTGGACCAAAATTTCCATCCCTGTCGTTGCTCCGGTGTATAACCCTAGCTAGAGTTGACGAGAAAGCCCGTGGACCCGTGTAATGGCTCACGTACGTGAACCCGAGCACGCGGTTGAAATTTAAACCGTCACTACCACCAGCTAGACATCACCACCACCGTCGTCACCATCCACCACCACCATCACTACCACCACCACCACAAGTGCCACACTAGCAGCAACACACCACCGTCGTCACCATCCACCACCACCATCACTACCACCACCACCACAAGTGCCACACTAGCAACATTACATACACACACCACTGTGACGTTATATCGCGGCAAGCAATGTCACTACCCACCCTTGGTTCGTGAAACAGAAAGGAAACATGGACAGAGAGAGAGAGAGAGTGAGACAGATGCGAATAAGTGAGTAAAAGAGTCGTAGGAGATAGATTGGCAAGCCCCAGAGATCCCGGCGTCGGCGTTTCTCAGTTATGCTCGTGTCGAATCCACGTATAAAGGATCTCGAGTCTTCCGAGTGGGGTTTGATATATGTATGTGTACCGTTGACGAAGATATTTCAACCGTTTTTTTGCCTCTCTTTCACCGGTCGAATATGTTACGGAGTGGTGTGTGGTGTGAAGGTTGGGAACAGTTTGGTCATACCAGTTCCT